TGTGGAGGCCAAAAGAGAGGGAAAGGTCTACTGGAACTGGAGGTTGTGAGCCACCATGTGGGTGCTGGGAACTGAACTCAGGTCCTCTGCAAGAGCAGTAAGTGCTCTTAACTGCTGAGCCATCTCCCCAGCCCTCATTAAGGGTGTTACATAAAGCAGGAGCCTGAAAACAATCTAGGTGCCCATTTCTGGGAGATCAGAAAGATGAAATAAGGGTTGGGGGTGTAGCTCAGTGATAGAGTACTTGCTTAGCATGTGTGAGGTCCCAAGTGCAGCACAGAAGCAAAACAACCCAAAGAGGGATAGAAAGCTAGTTCACTGGTAAAGATCTTATCCTCCTCCTGCAGAGGACCAGGATTTAGTTCCCAGAAACTACATCAGTGTACAATCATCTGCAACTCCAGCTTCAGGGATCATTGTTCACTTTTCTGGACTCTGAGGGCACCTGTACTCATGAACACATCCATATGCATAATTAACAAAATAAAAACAAATCTTTAAAAACAAACAGCAATAAGGGCTGGAGAGATGGCTCAGAGGTTAAGAACACTGCCTGCTCTTCCAGAGTTCAATTCCCAGCAACCACATGGTGGCTCACAGTCATCTATAATGAGATCTGATGCCCTCTTCTGACATGCAGGCAAACATTCAGACACAACACCGTATACACAATAATTAAGAAAACAACAAACCCACAAGCAATTGGCAGTATAATCATTGGTTGGAGAGAGAGCTCAGTGGTTGAGAGCATTTGCTCTTGCAAGAGGACACAAGCCAGCTGGGCATCGGTTGCACATGCCTATTGCTGTTAAATAAGGATCAGGATAAACAAATAGGCCGAATAGATGTTTATTCAGGGAGAAATAACTTACAACCTAGACAGATGAACACCAGCAAGTTCCACCGGATGCTTTCCTGTCAGAGTCCCACCAGCAAGAAAGTGGTCCTGGCTCTTCCTCAGACCTCCTTCCACAGGTCACTTCCGCTCATGGCTCCACCCCCCCAATGGGCGTGGACAGTGCCACAGAAGGAGACAAAGTAAATATCTCACTATACATGCCTTTAATCCCAGTACTTGGGAAGCAGAGGTAGGTGGATCTCTTTGAGTTCGAGGCCAGCCTGGTCTACACAGCCAGTCCAGGACAGCCAAGGCTATACAGAGAAACCCTGTCTTGGAAAAAAGAAAAAAAGGACACATGATGGTCTGTGACTCCAGCTCCAGGGGATCAGGCACCCTCTTCAGGCCTCTGGTCATATACACATGGTGTTCACTCACAAGCCAAAAGAGACTCCTGGCTGGGCCAGGCAGGCAGCCCACAAGGGACCTGCTCCTGTCTGTCAACAGGTTCCTGGCCAGACATCAAGAAGGAAAAGGGCAGGAGGTTGCACCTTGTGAGCTGAACTGGCGAAGGGGCAGCTGGGATTGGGGAGCAAATTATTCATCAGCCCTTTCCAGGGAGCATAGTGAAACATGACTCCCAAGACACCCGTCAGAGCAACACGGGCCATGAGACTGTGATGGAGAAAGGACAAAGGTGCACAGTGCTGACCACAGAAGAACGTAATGCACTCATCCCAGCCTCCCTGCTGCGTAGATGAGAAACCGGGCCACAGTCAGGTCAAGTGACATTCGCACAGCACGAAAGCAGGCAAAGTGGGTGCAAACCCAGGCCGCCATCACTAGTCCTGACCACCAGCACTTTCGTTTCCCTTTTTGATGTCCTCTCACTCTGTAGCCCAGGCTGGTTCGGAACTTCCTATGGAACCTAGGCTGATTGGAACTTGTGGCAGTCCTCCTGCCTCAGCTTCCTGAGTGCTGGAAGGAGGTGACCACTGCTCATGTTTTATTCATGGGTGTGTGTACATATATGCACGTACATGTGGACGCCACGGGCAGTATTGACTGGGTCTTCCTCCACTGAACCTGGGTCTCTCCACTTAGCCAGCTTGTGAGCTCTAGGATTCTGCCTGTTTGCCCTTCACCCCTCCCTGATCCACAGCACTGTTGCTGGGCAGACCATACTGGCCCTTTTTTTTTTTTTCATTTTTTTCAAGACAGGGTTTCTCTGTGTAACAGTCCTGGCTGTCCTGGAACTCACTTCATAGACCAGACTGGCCTCAAACTCACTGATATCCTCCTGCCTCTGCCTCCCAAGTACTGGGACTAAAGGGTGCACCATCACGGCTAAGCCTAAACTTGGGTTTTACAAGGCTTCCAGAATGGAACTCGGGTATTCATGTTTGCATAGCAAGAATTTACCAACTGAATCATCTCCCTAACCCCTTGTTCTTAGTGTTTAGATTAAGGTGAAAATGACATAACTTTCTCCGTAGTTCTAGAATCCAGCCAGCTGGTCAGGGTCAGCACTGAGCTACACCCTCAGCCCAAGCTAACCACTGTAAAGAATTCTATTGGGGGCTAGGACATGGCTCCCAAGAGAGCATCTGCCTGGCATATATGAAGCCTCAGTTGGATCCTCACTACCACTGAAGCCAGCTATGGTAGGACCAGGAGCAAGCTCAACAGGTAGAGGTGTTTGCTGCCAAGTCTGAGACATATCTGGTTCACTGGCTAGGAGAGAACTCATTCGTGGGAGCTGATTTCTGATCCAGAATGTGCACAAACATAACAAATCAATGTAATGATGATGATGATGATGATGAAAAAGGCTGTGGTGTACATGCCTAGGTGGAGGCATGATGATGGGGAATTCACAGTCAGCGTCGGCTGCATGGTGAATTTGAGAGACATATGAGACCCTGGGTGCTAATGTATATGTTCACACTCATACATATATGCTGGCGGGTAAAGGCTCTTGCTGCCAAGCCTGAAGTTTTGAGTTTTATCCCAAGGCCCACATGGAAGAGAACTGACTCCCAAGTCTCTGACCAGGCAGTGGTGAAGACACCTTTAATTCCTGCCCCTAGGAGGCAGAGGCAGGCAGAGCTCTGTGAGTTCGAGGCCAGCCTGTTCTATGGAGCAAGTTCAGGACAACCATGGTGGTTACACAGAAAGAAACCCTATCAGAGAAACCTGGAGAAACAAAAAGAGGGAGAGAGAGACAGAGAAAGAGAAAGGTGTTCTCTGACCTCACATTCATGCCAGAGCACTAGCACAAGAACAGAAACAAAAAATAAACTAAAAATGTGATGGTTAAAAAACACTATTAAACTATAATACAAAAAAAAAAAAAACCAAGTCATTCAAAATCCACATCTGTGGACTGTGGACTATGGTGTGGCCCAGTGTCACTCTCTTTCCAAATGTCCTAAGGGCCTGGGTTCATCCCCAGAACTTCAAAACACACACACACACACACACACACACACGTGCATGCACGCACACACACACATCTATGAATGGAAAACAAAGAAATGAAAAGGTGAGGGGGTCAGCCATATGTGAAGGCAGGGAAGAATGGTAACCAATGGGACCCAGCAGGATTTACAGGAGGACATCTGCATGTGTGTTCATCCAGTCTTTGTATCTTATATCCAGTCTTTAAATAGCACATCAGGACTGAGGACAAAGCTCAGTGGGTAAGAATGTTTGCTGCAAAAGCATGAGGACCTGAGTTCAAATCCCCAGCACCCACATCAAAAAGCTGGGTGGGGCCCCATGGGTGGGTAGCTCCATTGCTGTGGAGGTTGGAGACAGATCACTAGGGTCTTACAATACAACTCTGGCTGTCCTGGAATTCACTGTGTAGATCAGGCTGGCCTCAACTCACAGAACTCTCCCTCTCCCTGCCTCTGCCTCCTGGGTGCTGGGGATTAAGGCTGTGAGTCATCATTCCTGACAGTGACAATAATTTTAAAAGCAAAGTGTGATGCCTCACATCTGTCCTCTCAGCCATCAGGAGGCTAAGGCAGATGGATAGAGAGTCTGAGGCCAGTCTGGACTATGCAGTCACTGACTAGCTCAGTACTAGGATAGGATCCTATCTTTATTGTTATTTTTTTTTTCAGCAATGAGGATTGAACCCAGTACAAGTGCTCTACTACTCTGCCTATTAAAAAAAAGATCTGTTTATTGAGTATGTGTGTGTGCCTGAATGAATTTATGTGTAGCATGTGATTGCAGGTACCCGTGGAGGCCAGAAGAGGGCATGGATGCCCTGGAACTAGAGTGAGCCCCCACCTCTGTGTGAGTGCTGGGAACCAAACACCTGTTCTCTAGAAGAGCAGCAGGTGCTGTACCATCCCTCAACCTGTCTCATATGTCTACACTCCCACAATCCCCTCCTTGGTCTCTTGCGTACAGGGAGCACAGTTAGCCCCCAGGACCCAGGAAAAAGGTCGAGGGTTGCAGCTGTCCTGCAGGACAGTGAAAAAGAGCTTTCTTTAAGGTGTGTCTTTTATTGTTGTTTATGTCTGTATGTGTATGTGCACGTAGGTAGAGCATACACATGCAGGTTCCACAGGAGTCCAGATGGGGGCGCCAAATCCCCTGTAACTGGAGTTACAGGCACCTGTGAGCTTCCTGCTTTGGGTGGGGGTAAGGGGGACCAAACTCAGGCCACCTGGGAGAGCAGGATACCTCTTATCTACTAGGCCATCTCTGCACCTCCAGTGGAGATCTTGATACTGGAGTTCCAAGCTGGCCAGGCTAGGAGATTCTGCCTATGGATAAATAAATAAATAAATAGAGAGAAAGAAAAAGAGGGAGGGAGGGAGGAAGGGAGGGAAGGAGGGAAGAAGGAAGGAAGAAAAAGAAAAGTAAGAAAGGTGGCAACTTACTTCTATAATGCCAGCACTTAATAATAGATGAAGCAGAACTTCTCCAGTGTGGAAGATGACAGAGTTGAGCCGTGTCATCCTGTCCATACAAAAGGTTATCTCTTGGCAAAGAGATGGTAAAGGTCAGGTTGCTCACTGTCTCCCCTCTGCTAGGAAGATAACTCAGGTCAGCGGGCGGGGCTGAGAGCCAGCTTGTATAAATGAGGGGCTGAGGTGGTGCAGGGAGAGCCATCTCATCATTGCAGGCATCTCAGCTGAACATGGCAACCCGCGGGCTGCTGCTGCTGGCTTCCTGGGCTCTCATTGGGGCTCTGCAGCTGCAGGCTGATGCGAGGCCAGCGCCCTTCGGGATGAAGTTGTGCGGCCGCGAATTCATCCGTGCTGTCATCTTCACCTGCGGGGGCTCACGATGGCGCCGGGCAGATATCTTGGCCCACGACACTCTGGGTGAGTTGGGGGTGGGGGAGACAATCAACCTGGAACAGGTGGCCAGGTGGCCAGGTGGGCACATAGCCAAAACAGGAGTTGTGTGAGCCAGGCATGGTGCACACTGAACTTCCACACTTGAGAGGTGGTGGCAGAAGTTTCCCACATTTAAGGGCAGCCTGGGCTACAGGTTAAGACCTAGTCTTTAAAAATTCAAGGAAAGAAAGGGAGGTGTGGTGGAATAGAGTCTCAGTGGCTGTCCAGACCTGAGAGGATGGAAGGACGTTAATGTGGTAAATGATCAAGGCAGCCAACAAATGATCAGTGTTCTCTTGAGGCTTGTTGTGTATCCAATATTATTGTGCTTTTACTTGTGTTATGTCTCCCACTCATGATAAAACCAAAGAAAGTAGGGGCTGTTATTTCCCCCACTTTACAGGAAAGAAAACCAAGCCTTAGAGAAGCAATCTCATTTACAACTCTAATTTAGGGAGTTTAGCTTCCAGATGCATAACTTTCATCTACTGGTCCACATTAAATAAAGAATAGTATGAAATCCATGACAGGAAAGTCAGGTTTAGTACTGAAACTGGTAACAGAGCCCAGGACTGCAAGAAATGAAATTCTGAACAGCAACCTTGATCCCCAAGACCGGACATATAACCTGGCCAGACAGAAGCCAGCATTCTGGGGTGGCAGCTCTGAGCCCTAATGCTTCCTTCGCTTGGCAGGGGACTTCTTCCCTGATGCAGAAGCCAATACCGACAACCTGGCGAGCGAACTGGACGAAACCGTGGGCTCCAGCGAGTGGCTTGCCCTGACCAAATCCCCCCAGACCTTCTATAGTGGTCGGCCCAGCTGGCAAGGGTCGCCTGGAGCGGTTCGGGGCAGCAGAGATGTCCTGTCTGGCCTTTCCAGCAGTTGCTGCGAGTGGGGCTGTAGCAAGAGCCAAATTAGTAGCTTGTGCTAGGACCCTGGTTGGGTGATGGGGAAGAGGGCAGTGCTTCCAACCTGTTATCCTCTGTGCGATGCTCACACGCATTCCTCCAGGCAAGGCATTGAAGCCTCTGAGGTTTCCTCACAGACCCTCTGCCAAGCCTTTTCCCATCTTGCTCCGAGCCACATCGCTACCCAGCCAAACAGAAACTTGATCTTCATGGTAGAGTTCTTCCCCTCCCCAAGCCCAGCCCCAGCGAGCCTGGCTACAGCCAGGTACCCACCTACCCAAACTGGCTACACTGAACAAACTGTTTGGTCCTAATTGCCACCGCTTGTTTCCTGGCCAAGCCAGTGCAACCTGCCCCCTACTCCACTCCCTTCAGTCCCCACCCCAAAGCACTCTGCTGTTGACTCCAAGGCAGGGGACACCGAGTCCCCAGTTCTCAGACTTTCCCACCACAAAATAAAGGTTCAGTTCTGAGCATTTGCACGCGTGCGTGTTATTGCTGGGGATGGGCGGATTTGGGGACTTCCCGCCAGGGGCGGGGTATCTTCCTTCTCAGGCTGCAAGCCCCAAAGCCTGACGGTGTCTGTTATCTCTGGGAGCCATGATCCGGCCCCGGGTTGCGCGCCTCACGCCTTTGGAGCTGATGCTGCTGCCACTCCTGCTCGGGACCCGGCCCCACGGTGAGAGGCTTCCTGAGTGGCCGGTTTGGGATCACAGCTGTAGGGCGGTGGGGACTGGGCCACAACAGGATGTAGCAGGATGGGGAGGGGCTCGGGACCCCCTCTACGCCATCCCAGCACGTGCCAGACCCTGGGCTCCAGCTTGGCACCCTGCAGGAGAATGGACACACCCACAGCCCAGCCTGTTGATCGTGGCCCTCCCGGCCCTCTGCGCCCGCCCCCGCAGGAAGCCCTGGTCCACTGCAGTGCTACCGCGTTGGGCCCTTGGGAATCCTGAACTGCTCTTGGGAACCTCTGAGCTACCTGGAAACTCCACCTGTGCTCTATTACCAGAGTCAGAAGTAGTGAGTACCCTGGGGGAAACTGAGGCACAGCAAGTGGACACTCGGATTTCAACTAGCTTTGGTTAAGAAGACCCAGAGTCTAGCTACTGGAAATTCCTTCCACACTTTGAAGACCCTCAAGGCTGGTCCCACTCGTTTCCTTACTGAATAACTCTGGGCTAGTCACTTTCTCTCCCTGAGTGCCTCCCATGACAGCAATGACAGCACGTGCTCCTATGGTTGATCCTGCGCATCAATGCAGTATGCACATGGCAAAGAAAAATTGTGTAGTACTAGGAAGCAGGTTTATATCGCCATTGGACGATGTCAGGCGGAGAGCTTGACTTTTTAAAAGCAGTTTAGTTCAATCTGTGAACACACCAATCTAAGCTGGCATGGTGACACACACCTATAACCCCAGCACCTGGGAAGCCGGGCAGGAAGATCAACCTCAGCTTCATAAATTAGTGGCCAGCCTGGGCCACATGAAACCCTGTCTCAAAATCAGTCTAGTGATTGGAATCAGAACAATGAAAGCCAGGCCTGGTGGGGTGCAGGGTGCAGATGTCTGTCTGAAAACTGCATTGTAATTGGGCTAAGTAAGGGAGCATGAAAAGGCCTTTGGGTGGAGGCGTGGAGCAGGGCATCCTTTCTGAGACAGGGTCTTACTGTGTGAAGCTGGTCTCTAACAATCCTCCTGTGTCCATCGCTCGTGTGACTGTCACCTGGCCACTCGAGCTCTTTCAGTATTTTATGTGCACTGCATACATTTTGTAGAAGAGGAATAGAGAGGTAAAGCCACCTGTCTCAGGCCCCAGCAGAGCAGTTTGAGGGCATGGTCAGTGCAGGGTTGCTTAGCTTGTGCCAACATGTGTCTCTCCCCTGCATGTCTCCTCACAGCCATTCCAACAGAACCCAGGAGGTGAAGGTGCCTTCCAGGCAGAGCTGGGTGACCATCCCCCGGGAACAGTTCACCACGGGTGACACACTCCTTATTTGGGGAACACAGGAGGGCCGACCTCTCTGGTCCCCTGTTTTTGTGAACCTGGAAACTCAAAGTAACTTGGTGGGAGGGTGGGGCATAGTGTGGGTAGGGGAGGGTGGTTAGAGGCCCTAGCTCAGTGCACTCTGGCTTCTATTCACAGTGAAGCCAGACACCCCCCAGCTCCTCCCTAATGTGGACTTTTATGAGGACGACTCCCTGGAAGCCACTGTACCGTGGGAAGCACCCCTCTGGCCTTCGCATAAGGTTCTCACCTGTCAATTCCAGTACAGAAGATGCCAGAAGCAATGGACCCAGGTGAGTGGGGGGAGCTTCATCCCACCCTATCTCCGGTAGACGGGATAGCACCCCGAGTCCTAGAGAGCACAGACTCAGTTGGTACCTGACAGTTACCCCCAAATTCACATTGAAGGCCTCACAAGCAACTTTGTTCACTTGCTTCTGGTTTCTTGAGATAGTCTGTCTATGTAGCCATGCAGCCAGTCAAGGTGGCCACAAAGCCGTGCTCCCCCAGCCTCAGCCTCCTGAGCTCTGGGCAGCAGGGTTTCCTTGCCACCTCTACATACTGCCTGCTTATCTTTTGTGTCGGGGGAGGCAGTGAGTCAAGGTTTCACTGTGTGGTTCTGGCTTGCCTGAAACTCGCTGAGATACACCTGCCTCTGCCCCACCCCCACCCCCCACCCCACGTTGGGATTAAAGCTATACCTGCATGAGTATCTTAATCAGTTAAAAACTTTGTCTCAGGCTACAGAGATGGCCCAGCAGTTAAGAGCACTAGCTGCTCCTCTTCCAGAGGTCCTGAGTTCAATACCCAGCACCCACATGGTGACTCACAAACATCTATATAAGATCTGATGCCCTCTTCTGGCGTGTAGGTGTACATGCAGAGCACTCACACATGAAATATACGTAAAATTTAAGATAAAGATTTTGTCTCAAAACAAACAAAAACAAAAAACAAACAAACAAAAAAACCCACAGACTACAGCTGGGAAGATCACTCAGCATCAAAGTGATTGACACACAGACGTTAGGTCCTGAGGTCCCAGCACCCGTGTAAAAAAGGCAGGCATGGTGGCACTGTTTAGCCTCCCTCCGCAGAGGCAGACACAGGTGTATCCCAGGACTTGCTGAGCATCTGACCTAGCAAATGAGTCAGTGAGAGAACTCGTTTCAAAATGAAGTGGCCAGTGAGATGACCTAGTGGGTAAAGGCATTTGCCATGCAAGCTTTACCACCTGAGTTCGATTTCTGGGGGCCCACATAAAGGGCAGGAGAGAACTTATTCCATACTTGCCCTTTTACATCCTCCCCCATAGTATACTTGTATACCAGTAATATACTCGTATACACAGTAATAGAGTTAAAACAGTAAGATGTTGATCTACAGAGGAAGACACTTGACAACAACCCCTGTACACACACACACACACACACAGACACACACACACAGAGAGAGAGAGAGAGAGAGAGAGCTTGCTGTAACTACTCAGTGTTACAGGGCTTGCCCAGCCTGTGCCAGACTCAGGGCCACAGCGTTGGAACAAGAAGAAAGTCTCCTCAGCACAGAGGGCTACCCCATCCCTTTCCCCTTCCTTTACCCAGCTAGAGCCACAGCTGAAGACAGACACGATGACTCCTCTTGAGATGCAGAACCTGGAACCTGGCACCAGCTACCAGGTGTCGGGCCGCTGCCGAGTGGAGAGCGGATATCCATGGGGCGAGTGGAGCCCGGACCTGTCCTTCCAGACGCCCCTCTTGGGTGAGGATGCCTCCATTTGTCATGCACTTCTGGGCCCTATAGGCCAGGCAGCCTTGTTCATCTAACGGTACCCGCCTTTCCCCCTCCTCATCAGGTCCTGAAGATGTGTGGGTATCGGGCACCGTCTGTGAGACATCTGGCAAACGGGCAGCCCTGCTTCTCTGGAAGGTAAGTCCAAAGGTAGTTCTCTGCGGGCATCTGGGAACGCCCAAGCAGCAGTGGCCTCCTCTGCTGCCCCCTGGAGGTTATTTCCTGGATTGCAGGGGTGCTGGGTGCCAGGGAAGTCACCACTACCACCACTAACCTGTGAGAGATCTGAGGTGTTGGGTGGGATCCAGTGTTCCAGGCAGGCGACAGCAGATGTGAAAGTCTAGACTCAGGACATGATCTCAGTACAGCTTGGCAAGATGCAACACTTGTGCTGGGAAGTCTCGTGCTACCATCAAACAGGTTGTAGAAGAGGGTGTCATAGTCCTCCTGCTTCAAGGTGGCCCACACTTGTGATCCCAACTGCTCAAAAGGTTGAGGCAGGAAGACTGAATGTTCAAGACCAACCAGAGTGAGTTCAAGGTCAGGGCATCTTAGTCTGAAAAACAAAAAGATTTAAAGGTGGGGGGGGCAGGGCTTAAGGCTAGAGAGATGGCTCAGTAGTTAAGAGCACTACTGGCTGCTCTTCCAGAGACCAGGGTTCAATTCTCAGCATCCACATGGCAGCTCACCACTCTCTGTGGAACTGGTGATCTCAGTTTCAGGAGATCTCATACCCTCACACAGACAAACGTGCAGGCAAAACACCAATGCATGTAAAATAGAATAAAATATAAAATCGAGAGGCTCAGTGACAGAATCCTAGGTAAGAATGTTCAAGGTCCCAGGCTTCATGCCCAACAATGAAAAAATATACTATTGAACATCTAATGTCTGCTGGCCATGGCTGAACTCTGAAAGTAATAAAACGTATACGACCTTGAGCCACATAACCAAAGCCATGCATTTAGTTCCACATGTGTTTATGTATATATGTATGAAGGTATATGAGGGTGCATGTAATTGAATGCATGTGTATGTGGATGTATGTGTACATGCATGTATGTAAGTGTATGCATGTGTGTAAAAGCACATATATGTGGATGCATGTGTGTGTGCATTTATACTCTCTAACTCCAGAGATCTCTGTCTCCTACATGGTGGATTGATGATGTTAGATATTGTTCCTTGCTAGAGTTTTCTGGAATCACTTAAATGATTACACATCCCTATCCTTGTAAGTTTCCACTGGGGATGAAGTAACAAAGCCACAAGGGAGGGAGCCGGAGGTGTTCAACATTAATGAATATTTCAGAGCTCTTAGGTCTGCTGGAAGGCAGGCAGTCCTGAAGTGCAGCTTCCCTAGAACGTCTGCGGTCAGCACTGCCTGAGCCAGATGTGAAAGTGCAGCTGTGAGCCAGCAATGGGAGGTAGGAGCCAGAGGACCAAGGACCAGTAGTTCAAGGTCTCCTTGACTGTGTATCGGGTTTGAGGCTGGCCTTCTATTTGTGAGGTCCGGTTTCAAAGAAAAGAGAGACACAAGGGATGAAGTGCTGAGGCCAGCCAGAAGAGTTCAGTACCAGAGGCCACGTAGAAAGCTGCATGTGGGGCTGGGAAGATGGCTCAGCCTTGGCTACTGCTGAGGAGGACCCAGCTTCAGTTTCCAGAACCCACATCTCACTCAGCTCACAAGCATAGCTCCAATTCCTGGGGGTCCAGTGCTGTCTTCCGGTTTCTGAGGAT